GTGAAAATCTTATGAATAGCCACAGGACACAGTCTGATGTAGAGCCAAAAAGACCAGTTAAGACTGTTATTCACCTTTATGCATCAACCACTAACATGGAAGATGTAGAAATTAAAGATTTTTTTTACCAACTTCTATAATCCAGAACTGATCAACTTTGTATTGAAGATGTAGCGATAATTACTGGTGATTGGAATGTGAAAGTTGGAAACAAAGTTGAAGGAGAATATGATTTTGATGATGAAAATGACATCAGAGATCATATGATAGAATTATGAAATTTACATATACAATAATAAACTAGATATAAAAGGCATTATAGGTAAATGGTTAAGATCCTGAACTTGGAAACCAGACTGCCATGATGAAAACTCCAATTCTATCACTGAGAGTTACATAATACTATGCAAATTACTTAACCACAATGTGCCTCATTTTTTTCTACCTGTAAATTGGGAGTGTTGTAGTTAAGGCTGTGTGTCAACTTGGCTGGGCCTGGTTTTGAGAAGCTGGGGAGCTGGATGTAGTTATTCCCCATGATGGACTGGTAATCAACTCTATAGTGCAATCTACTGGAGCAGCTGAGTAGCTGCCTTGAGGATATGGTCTGCTTGCAACATATAAAAGACAGCTTTGAGAAAGGTCTCCAGCTTTTTGGAAGGCTTAGATACTACATATAGCCAAATCTTCATTCAGTGGCCTGCCAGATTGTCCACTCATCTTGAGACTATTTCTGGACTTGAAGTAGTGTCCTGCTGTGTTGCTTGATGATCTTGGGACTGTGCCATTTTACTTATTGACCTTTGGTTTGTCAGCCTCAGCAGTCAGCAGCTACCTGAGTTGAGAGAATCCTCTAGCTTCACTGGGCTGGCAGCAAAAAGCAGAGCTGAAGCAAAAGGTCAAGGGGCTTACACCCAGCTCCTAGAGCTGGCATTTTGAACTTGGACTTCTAGCTTCCTAAACTGTAACAGAACACATTCTTGCTTTTTAAGACCACCTGCTTGTGGTGTTTTCTGTTAGAGCAGCACCAGAGATCCCAAACAGGAAGTAATAAAAATTATTTATTTATTTATAGAGTTGGTGTAGGTTTATTGAAAAGCTCTTGTTGTGTAGTGGTTAAGGATTTGGCTGCTCACCAAAAGGTCAGTGGTTCAAACCCACAAGCTGCTCACTCTGTGGAAAAAAGGTGAGTTGGTCTGCTTCCATGAAGATTGATAGCCATGGAAACCCAATGGGGGTCACTATGAGTTGGAATCAACCCAATGGCAGTG